TTTTTTTTTTTTTTTTTTTTTTTTTTCCGCTCTAAACTCATGGTTTCTAACTCCAATTTTAATTTTAATAAAAAAATAATTTAATTTTTAACTCTATTTTGAATATTAAATCTAGTCCATATCTCTGCTCCTATTTTATTATTATTTTCGTGAAAATTTTCATTTATTTTTGTAAAATGAATTTATAATATCTAAAAAAAGAATTAGTAATTTTTTTTTCTTTTATTCTTTTTTTAAAAATAGTTTTTTTAATTAAAAATAGTTGTGAGTAAAACGAAAGGAATTTTTATTACCATAACAGAAAGGTGAGAAATAATTAGGAGGGTGTTGCACGTAAGTTTAAAGTTTATTATTATTATTCTTTTCGTTAAATAACACTTTAATTCAAGTATTGTATTTTAATTTAAATTAAAAATAGAGATGAGATAGACAAATATTTAATTTAGTACAACATTTAAAAAAAACATTAAAAAAATATATTATAAAGTGTCGATAAATGATTTTTATTTATATATTAATAGTAAAAAAAAATTAATTTTTTTTTTTATAAATCTTACCAGTTAATGAGTTCAGGAGTAGTTTTGAGTTAAAAAAAAATAATAAAAATATATTTTTTAAATTATTAAAAATTGGAAGATATTTGTTGGAATCGTAACCCAAACCGATTGGAGAGAGTGGCAATGGGCTTTAGCTTTAGGCCCATGGACTTTCCACTTGGACTTAACGGCCCACAAGATTTATAAAATAATTTGGGAAATAAATATATATAATTCAACCTAAAATAAAATGTTTTTTTAATAAAAGAAAAAATAATTTAAATTTTTTTAAGAAAGGAGTATGAATAATTGGAGAGAGGGATTAAGAAGAGATGTGACGCTAGGACTTGGCCAGGCTTTTAATATCGATAAGCGCTGAGTCACTTATATCACTACACTTTCCTGGTGCCACGTCCATTCTTATCCTTTCAGCTTATTTTTGTAAATTCCCAAACTTACCCTTCCCAATTTATAATTCCGTGGATGGCGGAAGGGTGTCGCCTTGTCATTTTCAGCTTTTCTCTCACCAACAAATAAATAAAAGCATCTAAATATTCTAATCAACCACAAAAATTCCACTTCCCACCCTCCACCTAACCATGGTTACTATTCTCCATGCCTCTACCTACCTATGGTTACAATTACTCTAAACCATCTCGGGTCTATTACCTATTCTAAACGTCACCGAATATAGAATTGCTCTAAACAAAACACGTTTACTTTTGAAGTTTTAATGATCGAGCTACTGTAACGGCCCAAGCTTAGCAGATATTTTTCTCTTTCGATTTTCTCTTAAAGCTTTAAAACGCGTCTGCTAGTGAAAGGTTTCCACCCTCTTATAAAGGGTGTTTCGTTCTCCTCCCGAACTAAATGTGGGATATCGCAGCTATCGAAAATAAAGGTACACCTTGTTGGTATAGACCGTGATAACTTTCAATCCCTTTAAGTCTTTCTTAACTATCCTATCCTCGAGATCGTTCTTATTCAAATATGGTTTCGATTCATTCACGTACCCCTAATTTACTTGGGTGTTACGAGACCATGGACCTTCTTTTCTGCAAATTCATTTATTTTGTAGGTCATTTTTTATGCTTGGAAGTCAAGGGACCGAGCACCAATTATATTTGATAACAATGTCAACTTGTACGGATTTAAATCCAATAACTGATGACTAAAGTGAACATAACTCCACCTTCTCTTGAAGAGCAAAATCCGGACATTTCACGTATTTTATTTAAAATAAATAACAATAATACCCAAATTTATAAACCATTGATATTCATGATTGAAGAACAACAAAAATTAGATCTCAATTACAAATACTTGGAGTTAATTGTCACAAGTCATAACCCAAAAAACATTTATCTCAAAATTTTTTAAAGAAAAAAAAAAAAGTATCATCAACAAAGCGCAACAAAATCCTAATTTCCCCCTCAAAATTATTCTGTTGATTTCAGTAAATTTTCCGGCGAGAATTCCGAGCAAGATCTCTTCCTCTGCAGCAAAGAGGAACTAAATCCAAGCATTGAAGAACCCATGTCGAAATCAAGCACGATATCCTCCATTTGATAGCCTCCCAATACGACGGCGTTTTTCGGCTTCAATCCGCCGTCGACGATCGCTAAACAGAAGGTTTCGTCGTTCACTTTCACCATCGAATTTCTCCCATCGATTTTCCATCTAACCATCTCGCTCTGCAGAATCAGTTCAATCATCGGAACTTTCGGCCCTGCCGCCGTCATCTCCATGTTTTCCGATGAAAAACACGCCTCAAACGATGCCACCGGAGCCACTTCTTTCATGTTCATTGCTCTCGCTGCTTCTCTGAATGCCGCCGTCAGAGATTTAAAAATCGAGCTCTCCAGTGCGGTGTATGGAACCACCGTGCTCAATCTCGTCCCTCCGCCGTCCTCGCCGTCCAAATCGAGTAGCGATTTGTTCAGATCGAGGCGGTTTCCGTCGACTTTGATGGCCTTCACATTAATGAAATACTCCGCCGACTGAGAGCCGTCGATTATCTTAGTCAAAATCGGCGTATAAGTCAAAGAACTCGAAATCTCTGATCCATAAACAGAGTCTTGACTTCGACTATCGGGAAAAACGACGCCGTTCGTCGACGAAAGACAAACGGAAAATCGCCGGTGAAAACCAAGCTCCGTTGCAATCTGAGCAGGAAGCGAGATCTGATTCCGGCCAAGCCCCAAAATCCCCTTAGCAGATTTCGCCAAACCTTGCAAAAGAAACCTCGGAGCACAAGAATGAACAGCGACAATCACCGCCGCCGTGGACCGTTCCAAAGCCCTCACCGCCACCGTATCCTCAACCAGCAACGCCTTCCCTACCAAAGCCCCAAACGGATTCCCCGCAACTACCTCACACGCGCCGCCACCAGACCCAGATCTACTACCACCGCCTGTCGCCGCAACGCACTGAATCGACCGGCTCTGAATCGTGCGACTGGAGGTAGAACTTCCACAAGCCATCCAGAGAGAAGGCCCGCCAAGATCGACGACGAGATGGATCGGCTTAATCGGAGAGCCATGGTAGACGGAGGCCAAATACTGATTCGTTACGGAATCTTTAGTAACTGGAATGACAAGAGAGAAAGTTCGGCCATGAAAGAAGGAAAAGAAACAGATAAGAAGAAGAAGAGAGTGAGATTGGGGAACAGCCATGGAAATTTTTGGTACAGTCGGCGGCGATTCGCCGCGAATTGGGAATAAGGTTAGAGAGAGAGAGAGAGAGAGAGAGAAAATGGAACGTGTCAAACCGCGCGTGGTAATTGGATAAGGCCCAAGTGGAGCAGTTCGTTTGAGAGAATATATTTATACAAATTTGATATAAATTTTAATAATAAATGTGAAAAATGATGGGAGGCTGACGTGGAAATAGATTGTGTCTATCTTCTTTTGCCAAATAATTTTATCCTTATAATTTTAGAAATTAAATATTTCCTATTTATGACAATTTTACACGTACATGAAAACTATGTTTTTTTTTATGTTTTTTTCGGAGATATTTTTGAAATAAAGTATTAACTGTTTTCATAATAATATATATTGTTTAAATTTTTTAATTAAAAAAATGGATGATATGCAAATCAAAGCTAAATAATTTTATCACGTAATTCCAAATAGGCTTTATAAGCCAATCATATTATAAAACCTAAATTGTATCATTTTTTAAAATTAAAAATAAAATTCATTTAAAAAAAATAAAAGAATATAT